GCGGTCCTTGGCCGGACGATGGAGGCGTACGTCGACGACATGATCGTCAAGAGCAGGCAGGCCACCTCCCACGCCGACGACCTCCGGGAAATCTTTGAAATCATGAAGGAGTTCAGGCTCCGCCTTAACCCCAAGAAGTGCGCCTTCGGCGTCCAGGGCGGCAAGTTCCTTGGCTACATGGTCAGCAGGAGAGGCATCGAGATAAACCCGGAGAAGACGCAGGCTATCATCAACATGGAGCCGCCCCGCAACGTCAAGGAGGTACAACGACTGACGGGGCGCCTGGCGGCCTTAAACCGGTTCCTCTCCAGGTCAGCTGAGAGGGCACTCCCCTTCTTCCAGATCATGCGCAAGGCAAACAGCTTCAAGTGGACGACGGAGTGCCAGGAAGCATTCGACGAATTGAAAAGGTACCTGTCGTCCCCACCCGTACTCTCCAAGCCCAAAGCCGGCGAAACCCTCTTCCTGTACTTAGGGGTGAGCACGTCGGCCATCAGCTCCGTGCTCATCCGTGAGGACGAAGGGGTGCAGAAGGCCATCTTCTACATCAGCAAGACGCTCAGGGAGGCCGAGCTCAGGTACTCCCCCATTGAGAAGACGGTGCTGGCCATCGTCCACACCGTGAAGAAGCTGGGGCACTATTTCCAAGCCCACACCGTCCATGTGCTGACCCAGCAGCCTCTTGGCGCGCTCATGAGGAGCCCCACTAGCTCATCGAGGATGGTGAAATGGGCGATCTTCCTCAGCCAGTTTCAGATTGAGATCAAGCCAAGGCCATCTATCAAAGGGCAAGCCTTGGCCGACTTCGTCATTGAATGCACAACAAGGGAAACGGCCGTCGCCAACTCCGGGCCGGAGCCGGACGAAACGTGGACCCTGTTCACTGACGGCTCGTCGGCCGCGAAATCATGCGGCGGCGGCGGCGTCCTCATATCCCCTGAAGGATTCAGAGCCTACAATGCCATCCGCTTCAACTTCAGGGTATCCAACAACGAAGCCGAGTATGAGGCCCTCCTCAGCGGTCTCAGACTCGCCGCCGGCCTCAAGGCCAAGCACCTCAGAATCAAGTGCGACTCCAAACTGGTAGTGGGCCAGGTGGAGGGATCGTACGAAGCAAAGGAAGGCCGGATGAAGCAGTACAAACAAGCGGCGGAGGAATTGCTGAAAGCGTTTGAAACCCACGAGATCACTCAGATCCAAAGGGCCGAGAACGCCGAAGCCGACATCCTCTCCAAGCTCAGCTCGGACACCCCGGAGCACATCTCCCAGTTAGCCAAGATCGAGGAGTTGAGCATGTCCAGCATCCATGCCAGCCCCGTCTTGTGCGTCCAACAGCGACCGGAGGACTGGATCTCCGACATCGCCACCTTCATCACAACGGGGGAGTTGCCCCCGGACGAGGAGAGGGCCAAACTCGCCAAACTCAGGGCCCCAAGCTACACCATCGAAGATGGCAAACTCTACAAACGGTCCTATAATGGCACTCTCCTCCGATGCCTGCACCAGGACGAGGCCGACACAGCCATGGAAGAAGTTCATTGTGGCGTCTGCTCCTCACACCAGGGCCCTTTCAGCATGTCCCGGCGTCTCGTCGTCCAGGGCTTCTTCTGGCCGACGATGGCGCGCGACTGCGCTGACCTGGCCAGGAAGTGCACCACATGCCAGGTACTCCAGAAGGCCCCTGGTCGGCCAGCTGTCAACTACGCCCCTGTCAGCACCGCAATTCCATTCTCCAGATGGGGGATTGACTTGGTCGGCCCCCTGCCCAGAGCCGCCGGAAATAACCGCTACATCATCGTCGCCGTCGACTACTTCACCAAGTGGGTCGAGGCGGAGCCTTTGGCCAGCATCACAGGGGCCAGATGCTAGAAATTTGTTTACAAGAACATCATCACACGCTTTGGCGTCCCCCAGGAGATTATATTAGACAACGGCACCCAATTCGAGGCAGCCCCTTTCCAGGAGCTCCTCCGGGAGTTTGGGGTGAGGCACCGTTTCTCCTCCGTTGCCTATCCTCAGGGCAACGGGCAGGTCGAGAACGCCAACAGAACAATAATGGAGGGGCTGAAGAAGAAACTCCAGACCGCAGGAGGAAGTTGGGTCGACGAGCTCCCCAACATCCTGTGGTGCTACAGAACCACGCCGAGGAGGGCGACAGGTGAAACGCCTTTCGCCCTGTGCTACGGATTTGAAGCAAAGGCGCCTACGGAAGTTGCTATCCCCAGCCGACGGGTGGAACAATATGAGCCTGACGCCAACGAAGAGAACATGAAGATTGACCTACACCTGGTTGATGAGAGGCGTGAGCAAGCTTACGTCAGAGCAGAAAACTACCGGCGTCAAGTAAAATCATACTATGACGCCAAGGTACGTTCCCGGGAATTTCAGGTGGGGGACTACGTCCTCCGCCGAAGGGAAGCAAGCCAGCCGACAGAGGGTGGCAAGCTAGCATTGAAGTACGAAGGGCCCTACATCGTTAGTGCCGTGGTCAAACCCGGCACCTACAAGCTTAAACGCCCAAATGGGTCCAATGTACCACGAACATGGAATGTACACCATCTGGTGAAGTTTTATCAGTAATCCGAAGGAGGTGTAGACGGCGAAGCCCTCACCCCTTAACGGGTTACTGATTGAACGCCACCCTCGGCCTCGAGCCACTTATGAATAAAATCATGTTCTGATTTTTTTTTTCTCCGGAAATTCAAAGTAAAACATTAGCAGGTGCCCTCGTCGGCCACCTTAGAGCGAAAGGCTCAGGTCTGGCCGACATGGCCCCTCGCATTTGCAGCCTACGAGCGACAAGCTCAGGCACTCCATTGTATTTTGTATCAGCGAAGGGCTCAGGCCTAGCTGAGAGAGCACATCGTCCTGGCCCCGAAAACCTAGAAGTGAAACACTCAGGTATGGCCGACGATGTCCCCAGGACGAAGGGCCCGCAAACGGCCCACGTCTTGAAACGGGAAGCTCACCGCGTCGCCCACGCACCAGAACGCAGGACGACAGGCCTGAAATCATGGCCGAGGTGACAAAATCCCAAAACTCAGGGATGGGCAACGACAGCCGTTGGAAACCGACCAAAAGTCTAGCCCGCGTCATAAATAGGCGACGGGACCCGCCCTGAGATCACGGACGTTATAAACGAAGTCCGAACCGGCCGAAGGACGAGCACACCCTTCGGCCGAAGCGTGAAAGAAGGATACCCCCGAAACGAAAAAAAAAAAGAGGGAAAAAGAGGGAAGCCGACGGCCGCGCACACTTGTCGGCCTCGAGCAATGAAAAAATAAAATCCCCACAATTCAGGCCCATTTTGGCCAGGTACATATCAGACCAAACACAAGTATAGTACCACAAACAGGTAACATGGACGACACGTCCATGCATCACAAGGAAAGGATCGAGGCAGACACACGCCTACAAAACCCTAACCGCATCGGTTGGGTGATATGCAGGAGGTAACCTTCATCGGCCACAGTCCTTTGAAGCACCAACGCTTGATATGAAACAAAGAATCACAATCCTGAGGATGACCAGGACGAAGCGGGCACTGCACACACCCGCGAAAGGATCAAGCAATCAGGAAACAATCCTTACTTGCCACAACAACCAGTATAGCCGATACAGGCACCAGAACCAAGGCCGGGAATGGGTTCAAGTGTTTACCAAACACGTAGAAAAAATCCTGAGAAAAAAAGGAAAAGAGGATTCCTCAACAAGGAACCCATGGCTGGCCGACGAAGGTAGGACCACCTCCTTGGCCGACAGTGGTACCTCAAAGAAGTAAACGCCCAGCATTTACACTTGGAAAATTCTCTAAGTACTCAAGTGGAAGAACACTAGACGAAGCGGGTACATATATAATCCAAGGCCGTTAGCTACCTACGCCTTGTACACGTACTTTGGAAAAAATTCAAAATCCAAACGACTAAGGTGAAGGTGCCCTTATCGGCCATAAAACAGGAATGCAGGCCGACAACGGCCCTGGCTAAAACACCCGGGATGAATCCAAGGCCAGGACGATAAGGACGCCAACGCCTGGACGGAACGGACACTACGGTCAAGGGCAAAATGACAGCTCCCAAGTGGATCCAAAAGACTTGGGCAATTTTTGGAAAGAATCACCTGCCAAGCCGACAAGGCCACCAGGCCGGAAGGGAAACAACTACCAGAATCAAAACACTTAGGAAGTTTTTGGAAAAAATCCTAAGTGTTGTGATACTACAGAAATGACGGTCAGGCCGACCAAGTCACCAGACCGGGACGAAAGCAACTAAGCGGATCAAAACACTTAGGAAATTTTTTGAAAAAATTCCTAAGTGTAAGGCAAAGATGAATAGGCCGACCAGGCCGACCACCCCGTTGGTGGGGAAGCCAACCTTATGGACGTAGCGGACACTTAGTTATGACTTGACACCGACAATTTACTGAATTGAAATGACAAAGAGCAAACAAGCATACAATGGATTCAAAGCCGAGAAGGATGGCAAAAATTCTTTCATTAATCAATTCATTACAATGGGGGCGCTTCGGCCGTTACATCACTTGGCAAAAAATTGAAAAGCTAATTACAAATGAGTAGCCTATCAAGCTTCGGGGGCACCTCCGTCTGCGGCTGCCTCATCGGCCTCATCAGTTCCCTCTTCGTCCTCAGCTTCTTGGCCGGCAGCGGCGCTGGTAGCATCATCTAAGAAATCAAATTCAGTGTAGTCCGGCTCGCCGAGGCCGGAGCTTTCTATGGGGGACTCCCGCTCCGACAGCGGAAGCTTGGCCTGCTCTTCGGGATCCTTCATCAGCTTTGGCAGCTTCAGGTTCCGTCTAGCCCATCCAGACGTGTAATTCATGGCCTTCAACGCCCGGGATAGCCGCCGACACAGGAGCCTTTGCATCCGCTCCTGGCCCAGGTTGTAGTAAACGGACATCTCCCGGCTGAAATACTCCCGGCCGGCAGGGGAGTTCATCCCCCAATTCTCCAGCCTGGCGGCCACCACTTCGTAGCACCAGGGGAGCCTCTCATCGGCCTTCCACCCCTCGGCCAAGAACTTCTCGACGGCCTCATCGGCAGCCTTCACGACGGCGGCCTCGGCCTCAGCCTTCGCCTTGGCGGCCTCCTCGCTCCTGCGCTTCTCGGCCTCAAGCGCCCTGTGGGACTCCGCGAGCTCCCTCTTGCTCTCTTCGAGCTTGACCAGGGCATCGTCCCTGGCCGCGACGGCTTCATCAGCTTTGGCCTGCAGCGCCTTGGCATCCTCCCGGAGCCGGTCAAGGCAAGCTACCGCCTCGTCGGCCGAGGCAGCCTTCTGCTCCAGCGCTTGCAGGCGAGCTATCTCCCAGTACTGCCTCTTATGGCTTTCCATAAGCATGAAGGCACTCTGCAGAAGGAAAACAAAGGTCAGGCAAAAAACTCAACATAGACGAAGAGAGACAAAAATATAAGGACAGTCACTTACTTGGACGAGGAGGTCCATGCCGCCCTCATAAATCTTCGGGTCCTCGAGCTTCTTCAAATGAGCCCGATCTTTGGCCGGCATGGCCTTGGCCAGGACGACGTGGCCGGGGACGAGCTCATTAAACACGCCCCCGCCGACGGGGTACTCTATCACCTTCTGATAGGTGGCACCGGCAATCTCCTTGCCGGCCCTCTGCGTCCGTGGTTCCTGGACGAGAGGAAGCGCTGGGGCAGCATCGTCAGCAACAGTAAGGTCCACGACGGGGCCACCATCGCCCACGCTGGGGACAGTAAGAGTACCGGCCTCACTAGCCGGAGAAGGGGAAGGAGCCCTCTTCGTCTTCTTAGAGACGCTCACGCCGGCCTCGGTCAACTTTTTCTGGCCGTCAGTGGCCGGTCTCTTTTTCTTGGATGGGGCAGGCTTTGGGGCCGCGTCAGCAGTAGCCCCGCTCCCACCAGCAGCGGCACGTCGGGCCGCCTCAGCCACCTTAGCAGCCAGCTCCTCGGCCGCCTTGGCCTTGGCAACGGCCATTATGGAACGTCGGTCCATGACAAAGTCTACAAAGAAAAAACAAACAGATTAGTAAGGCAAAGGACAAAACGTAAAGACAGAAAGCCGAAGAAAAATTACCATCGGCCTCAGCAGGAATGCCCAAATCCGGGCCATCGGCCCCCTCAAAGGTGGTGGTCATCCTCGGCCAGAGTTGGAGGTCATCCTCCTTATCTCCATACAAGTGATATCTGAAGAAGCCGAGGGCCGTCATCTTGTATTCAGTGACGTAATCTTTCACGCTCCTCGGCCCCCCTTCCAGGAAAGCCTCCACCTGAGCGTCCAAAATAGAGCTCTTCGGCGGGTCATGAAGATTGAACCTCCCGGTATGGCCGAGAGAGGGGAACTCGGTGCCACTCTCACCAATGGACACAAACACGAACTTGCTCTTCCACCCATGAATGGACGTAGGCAAATCCGTGAAGCTCCTCTTCCTCGGCAGCTGTTGAAGAATAGCATAGGCCGCACAGTTCTTGTGGCTTCCTCGGCCGATCTGGTACAAGTTCATGAATAAGGCCGTGGTCGGCCTGTAGCCCAACTCCTCACACCGAAGCAAGAAGCCCACTATCAAGGAATAACTGTTCGGCGTCAGCAAGGCCGGAGGAAGCCCCACCATGTCCAGATACTCAGTGACGAAAGGGTGAAGGGGGAACCTCAACCCCTTAGCAAAACTCATCGGGTATACTCCAAAGTATCCCGGTGGCGGAAGTAGAACATGGTCCGTCGGCCTGGGTGCCCTAACCCGCCCGTACGGCCCCACGTACATCTGGGCGACAAGATAGTCGGCCTCACTGCTCTCCGGCTTGATCAGGAATATGTTGGTGAGGTCCAGGTAGGAGAGGCCCGGCCCATTCTTCGGCCTCCTCACCCTCTTCGGCTTAGCTGCGCCCTTCACGGCAGACACCGGCCTCGGGCACGGAACGGCAGCAGAAGTGGACGCCCCGTCCACCGCTCGGGACGCGCCTACGTCCTCACCCTCTGAAGAGGAGGCGGACTCCTCTTCCTCGCCTTCCTCGTCCATCAGCTCTACGGATTTGTAGGGGCTCAAACGCTCTATCTCCTCTTCAAACTTCTCGAGCACCTCGTAGTCAAGCGACCTCGTGGAGGGCTGGTCGTCGTAGGGGTAGTAGTCCTCGTTCAAGCTCTTCATTACTACTATTACGGGCTTGAGGAGAGCAACTTAAGATCTAAAGGTGCTTAAACGCCTAACACTAGATCAACTACCTAGGAAGCAAAGTATGAAAAGCGAGGAAGATCGTGATGAACACTAACCTCGAACAACGAAGAACACGAAGAACAGGCTTGGGAGTTTATCTCTCTAGAAAATCGGCCAGCACTTCGACAAATTCAGAATGCAAATGTGATTCCTCGTCGGAGGGGAAGGGGTATTTATAGACCCCCCACCAACGGTCACTACACGTGGCACTCTCCCAATGGCCACATCAACGGCCACCACTGGGAGGCCACCACGTCACCAACGGGCCAGGACCAACCCATATCAACGGCCCACCGGCAAATCAGACTCTACGGCCTACACACGCTCAGCGGCTTTACAACTGCCAGCAAACGCCCACAACGTCCCACTTGCTCACCAAGATCACAAATGCCAAACAATAAGAGGATGGCAACGGCCAGGATCGTAACGGCCACAGAACAAAGGGAACAAATAGCCCACAGCCTTCGGCTCCTTGTAATAACCCTTGATGATAACTCTCTACAAGCGATCTGCGCACAAGGGTTCTCCCACAGGGTTACCTTGGCCAGAAAATCGCCATGAGAGTTGGATTCAGGGGGACTACGGCGAGACCGCTTCGGCCAGGGACTCAAGCAACTCCTTCACCCCTCACACTCTTCGGCCTGAAGCAGTGGGGGACTGGGGGACTACACCGGCCTCAACAAAACAAAAGAGTGCGAACAAGGTAACCACAAAGCATGGCCACATCATCCATACAGCACAACGGAACTTCATCGGCCAAAGGCCCATAACGTCACTAGCAACGGCCAACAAGCCACTAGAGACAAGGACACTCATCGTCCTCCGCCAACAATTAATCTTGACGGGCTCTTCGGCCAAAAACACGAAGGCCAACCAGCAACGGCTACACAAAGGAAACGAGGCCATCGTCCTCAAAGCAAGGAACAACCTCAACGGCTTCACCGGCCCAAACATGAACTTCAACCACCAACGGCCAGGAAAGGGAAAGCGCGCCTTCAACGGCCACCATTGAAAGAAGGACACTCATCGTCCCAAAACAAATTAAGGAGACAACGGCCTCCCTGCCCACAGCGAGGAACAGGTAACGGCCGAAGCACAGAACAGGATCACCAAAGAGGAAACAACGCCAACGCCGCAACGGCTAACGGCCTGGAAATGCCCGCGTCGGCCGAAAGCAACAAAACACAGAAATCTACTCTCCTTCACTTCGTCTACGTCTCAGCTCAGAGAGTGGGGGACTTCTGATGGAGTATATGGGTCTGAGCCCCAGGACCCACATACTCTGAAGAACAGAGCACAAGACAACAGAGTGGCGCCCTCGTCGGCCAAGACGCCCCCGTCGGCCGAGAAGAAGCCAACTCGGATTATGGTCCTGAGTCCAAGGAACCCGGGTGCCCTCGTCGGCCGTGCCCTGGTCGGCCACGCCCTCGTCGGCCACGAAGACCTCCCAGAATCGGATCCTATACTTACTCATTTGTACAGCCCATTAGAGGCTTTGTATTCGGCCCAGTAGTGGTCCAGTTGTAAATGGGCCTCCCAAGCCCAAGGCTTGGGAGCCCAACCCTAATTTTCTCTATAAATACTCCCCTTGGGAGTAGTTATAGGGGTTACAAATTCATTCTATTGAAGCATATTATTGCACTTCTCTCTCTAGCTCTCACTTCTCTCTAGATATACTCTATCACTTTCGTTCACCGGAACTATCGTTTGTGTGTTCAAACGATCGTTCATTAGTTACCGTATCCTGTGAAACGATCATTGCAACGCTCCTAGCACCATGGGAGGCAACAAATACGTTTTAAGGACATTGTGTGTTGCACAAGCTTTGACTAATTTCTGTTCCATCTCTTTTCTATTTTTCTTTGACTGTTTTTGTTTTAATTAATTTTAATAATTAATTTTATTTATTTTTCAAAAACACACCCTACAGCCTCTGCTCACTGAAGAACTAAACGAAAGACGAAGTTGTGGCTTCTATTTTTGAATAAACTTTTAAGGGTTTTTACAAGAATATTACTAAAATAAAACATATTTACATAAATATGACTATTCATTACTACAATGTGGTGTTGTGGTAATTTAAGCTCAAAACCTGAATATGAATTACTATGATTTCATTACTACTCTAGTCATTAGTCATATTTTTGTAAATCATCTTTATTTTGGTCATACTTATGTAACTATTTCAACTTTTAATTGCTGCTTTAATTATTTTTTTGTATTTTCATAAATTTTCTAACTTTATTGATTTGCTAATGTGATATTTTTCATGTGTAAATGCGGAATGGACTAATTTGTAAGGTTTTAAATGCTATAATTATTAAATTATTGTTATATTATTGCCTTATTGGTTGTAATGGTTGGGTCATCGGGGATTACTTATTACACGTATTTGCTTAAACAACTGCTATTCAAAATTTAAAGAAAGTTGCTTCTTGATAAGTCTGTAATTCAACACGCATTTTATGCATGTTGAGATTGGCTTTTGGTGGTTTTACTAACTAAAATGTGTCACAAGTCTCCTAATTATCTCAAGTCATGATTTACCGGGTTTTGGTGTATGTTTGGTATTTTTAGAGTCAAAATCGGGGACTTATCCCAGCACCGGATTTTGAGAAGTATTGAAGGTCCACATGTCATTAATGAAGTGACTTTGAAGACAAAAGAGCTCTAGGATTGACAACAGGATCAAAAGAAGACGAATAGAGCTTGCAAACGGTGATCAGGATGATGTTTTGTCAATCATTCAAGCATATCTTTTTGTGGAAACATCACAAAGACACAGCTCAAGTCCCATATGAAAGCTAACTTCAAGGGGTACAATTCATATGAAGACAACAAGACAAGAACGTGAGAGGAGCAAGGTGAAAACAGATGAGGAATACAGATAATCGTTGTTGAGATTTCAGGATGCGACCTTTCACCATTTTATTTATATCTTCTTATTGGGTTATCCAAATCCAGTTTTTCAAGATTTTATGGATTGAAAACTTCATTATCTGTAATTTTAGTGAAGGAAACATAGTCAAATTCGGAAGTGAAGTTAGGCACGACGTGCGCGCAGCCAGGCACGCAAGGTCTGGAAGATAAAAATAACGAAGAGCCTACTGGAGGCTAGGTACGCCGTGCCCGGAATTTTTACGTGACTTGTCCTCTGGAGGCACGGATGTCAGGCATGCCGTGCCTAGGCGTCGTGCCTGCCCCTCTACAGTCTCGTTATGGCCTGGATTTGTCTGTTCTCTATTTATACAGCCCGTAAACCTCGGTTTTTCGAGCCGTTGCCGGGGACAGTGTAAGCTTTAAGGGTTATTTAATTTCAGCGAATTGATTAGTTTTGTAGGATTTTCCTCTTATAACTGTGCATGTTAGATCTATTTGTGCATACACGTTTTAAGAGGGGAGAACCACTTTTCCCTCTTAATTTCGAGATAGAAAAGCTCGCCAGACAGAATCGTAAGGCTCTACGAGAGCAAAGAATAACCATGGACCAATCCTCATATGGAACTGCCAG